GTTGCTAAATTGCTGTCCCATTTCCAGCGCCTTGCGTTGTCCTTTCCATCACAACCGCCAAGAGAAAGCCCTCCCGCCCTCCCAGTGGCACCAACAAAAGCAGTCTGCAATTTCATTCGGAGGTGCTCCACTAAAAGGCTATTAGTTAAAAACCTTTGCTCCTCCAGCCAAGATGCGGGAGCCGGGCAGCCTCGGAGGGGACAGGACAAGACTCCTTCTTCAAAGGAAGGCAGCCTGACCATACAGTCCCAATTACAGCGGTGAGCCCTGACAGACATCAAAATGATTGCCCCGCCACCTCCTTTAAGTGAGACAAACGGGGCCGTCAGCTCTCTACGAGCTCGTCTCTGTCAGAAGTGAAAATTTAGCATTTTCTGTTTAAACTGAGGAGTCTGAGCACGGAGACAAAACCTAACAAAACCTTTTGGGAGCAGAAACGTCTTCAGATTCTACAATGACAAAAGGGTCTGTGAAGATTTTTATATTCTGAGCTCTGGAGGGACAGAACCCGAATAGCTCAAGGCTAGTACAGGGAAACCGGGAAGTGAGACCTGCTAGATTCATTTTCCTGCCCCAATTCAGTGATCATAAACTCCCAAGCCATGAAAGTCAGCATGAGTCGCTATTTTCAAATCCTTTCAGACATAACTCTCAGCAGGGAGCAGTAAAGAGATAAGGATTTGTTTTGAAAACCTGAAGGTGTTACCACAGCCTGCGTCCCATGCCATACAGATTTCCATATCCTGCTCAGGGAGAGCTGCTAGCAGGAAGACAGCTGGGGAAAAGCCTTTGTAGGTGAGCAGGGCTGACCAGTACATCCCCCCTGCACTGGTTACGGCTGTGCCCCCAGCCGCTCATTGCATTGAGCCCCGCTGGGAGAATGGCTGAGCTGCCAAGCAGAAGGAAAAGGCCTGGACGTAAAAATAAAGGGCTCTGCTGTGACCTTTCAGGTGCGACCCCTGGGCTAGCAGACACAGCCATCCCAAATTTTTGGCTAAATTACCCCTCTCGACTGCATTTCTAGAGGCAGGTGGGTGCAGGGTCGGCAGCAGAGGGAGCAGACACCTCACAAACCCTGCTAGCGAAAGACACGGCTGTTAGCGTTTGAAGCTGCGCTACAGGTTACTCGCGAACAGGTTAAAACTGAGGATAAGCTTTTTGCCTTTTTCTACTGAGAGCTCACAGGTCAGGAGTCATTTTGCCCTTATTATTCAGCAGGCAAGTTCAAGACTGCTTTCCTTTCAATGCCTGTAGGGAACGGCTGCGATAGGCAGGTCGGGCTTTTCCTGTTCCTGGGGTCACTAGAGCAGCAGATCCCTTCTAACAGCACCTCTGTACAGCTTTGGTGAGGTTCAGCAAGACATTCAAACCCCCCCAGACCTGCATCCCACACACAGCACTGGAAAGACAAAGGTTGTGGCAAACATAAACCATGAGCCACCAGAAGCTGCAATTCTCTGCCCCCTGGTTCAAAGCTATGCAACCGGGGAAGAAAGCCTAGATCAAACGATTTTATTATTATAACAATGTGCAAAAGTTAAACCAAACAGAAGGTTTTTATGTTGTTTTGAAAGGATTTCATCAGGCCAGATACAAACTGGAGCCCTCCGATACCTTTTTAATAGTGTTGTGCTTGCTGTTGCCTCGGCTGGCATTCTCGTTGTGCAATATATCCAGAGTTGTCTCTCTCTCCTTGAGCTTCAGCGCCTCGATTTCTGTCTTCAGCTCATTCAGCTGCTCCTGCAGGTGCTTGCTTTTCTCCATGTACTCTACCCTAGCACACACACACAAGAGTCCTGGGTTAGTACTGCACGCGGTGACATGATTCCGTGGCAGCCGACAACGGAGTTACAACAGAACAAACTTCAAATCATTGCTTCTAGTGCATGGAACTGACAGCGTTCTCTTACAGCACACACGAAACCACTCCGAGCAATGATTTGTTGGTTATTAAACAGAGGACACAGACAGCTGACCCAAGAACAGCACTGTAAGTTACGTTACTGTAAACAAATAAAGCCAAACTAGAGCTGCTGGATGATATCTGTAAGTCTCCTCATTTCTGAGAGAAGCCGCAACATGACACAGGTTAACAGGACACAGGTTCAGACTAGGATAGCGGTTTAAGCAGCTCTACTCCACTGCACCCTCCCTCAAACCCAGTTCACAAACTCAAAGCCACAAATCCTTCTGGGAAGGACGGCCCCTGATGTACAGATTTCTCATGTTTTAGAGGGATTTAGCTTGTAAACCATGCGGGAGCAAGCACTGCCCCCACAATAGCAGGTATCCTTTAGACACACAGCATCCCTGGGAGAGAGAAAGCCCCAAACTCAGCCGCTCTCAGGTCTTGGCCCTGCCTGCCTTCCACCATGAAGCATCGACTGGACAAAATCCCACCTTGTACTTGCAATGACACACCGAGACCCAGGTCAAGGTACCAGCAGACTAACAAGACCCTTTTCAGAGTGCCAAAATATGTAGCGGGGTTTATCTTGGCACCCGAGGAACACAAACAGTCCCGAGAAGTCAGCAAAAGCATGGTATTGCTTTCAGCGTTTGGCAGAGCCAAGCTCTTCCCGCTTAGCAGTGGGATGACCTAGTTAGCAACCCGGGTGCAGAACCAGGAATTATGCTCGTATTTTCAGCTTCTTTTTCCTTCTAGCTTTAGGAAAAGTTCTTGACCTCTGTTTCTAGCACAGCGGCTCTTCCTTCGTACCAGGGAGAGGGTACTGGGCAGAGGCAGAACGAAGCACCCTCTGGGATCCAGGGGCGTTTCATTTCAGCCCCAGGAAGTTTTGGCCGGAGCACTACGGCAGAGCCCTTCTAGCTTTGATCTACCACTCAATCAATGAACAAAGCATATTATTACTACAGAGATTAAAATCTCATCTGCTTTGATTTCTGCTAAATTTGTAATTTTGAAGGCTACACTTAACACCCTCAGGAAAACACAAGATCAAAGCTCATAATCACATCCAAACTTGCTTGCCCGCACTTTTTATATGTAAGAATGTATAAACATGACACAGATTCCCAGAAAAAGGGGTTAAAGCCCCAACGTGGGGCCGTAGCACACACTCCAGCTATCTCTACGCTCTCTGGACACACTGCAAACACACAAGCTCCAGCCTGCAATAGCTCAGCACACTGGCACTCAGACTGCTGTTAACTCCTTCTACCATCACGGACCACTAAAACCTAACCAAGAGCCGGATTATCCCAGGGGAGAAGAACTGACTGGCGCAGGGCTCAGCGCACTTAAACTCGCCTTTAGGCAGGCAGGAGGGAGGTGTCGGTGACACCAGGTCCCCACCTGGAGAAATGGTCAACCAGCAGGTCAACCGGAGCCACTAACGACCCGATAAATGCAAACCCAAAAGACTTCTCCCCCTTTTCCCCTCACCCCAGTGCTCATCTGGAATGGAAAAGCCCCAGTGCAATCCCTCCCACGGCAACCAAGGCACAACCTGGCCCGGGCTGGACGCATGCCACCTACTTCTCCTTCTCGATCTCCATCGACAGCCTCTTCATGTCCGTATCCTTGAAGTCAAAGGACAGGCTCTCGCTGATGAGGTTGAAGCTTGGCAGGTCGGTAGGCAGTGCTGTCGTACTCGAGTTCATGGACTGCTGAAGAGAGAGTACACATTAATCGCTTTTGGCCACACAAGTGTTCCTACAGCAAACGTTCTGCAACACAGAGGTAAACTCCAAGCAACACCCAAGCACAGGGTAGGAGGTGCCGGTACGACTGATGCTGGAGTAAGGGTCTTGATCTGCTACTCGCACGGGGAACACCACTCTCCTCGTGGAGCTGGGCGTACTTTACCTTGCCGTCATGCTGAAGTGGAAAGATCTCATCCTTTGCACGGGGAAAGGGAAGGGGCATGTGTATTCCTGATGCAACACAGCCCACAGCCCCTTTTGTCTGAAGCAGCCTCAAACTTGCTGGAGAGCAGACAACGAGGCTCTTGTTCAGCGGGCGATCTTTTAACACAGGAGATGGCAAGCACTCCAAGGCGCTGCAGAAGCAGAGCGGCAAACAAGCCCAGAGTCCCAGGCACCAGAACAGCCCAAAGATCCCCTTGCTCCATTCCCAATTTCCTCTCCAATTCAGAGCTATTGCTCCTCTGGAATCCCACTCTTTGCAGTAGCAAAAAGGAGATAAAACACCACCTGCATTGCAAATCTATTGACAAAATTTGGTAAAATCTAGGTTTAAATGCTGCTGAGCCACCTAAAATGACGTCGGACAGAAGCTGCCTCTTGGGAGACATCTGACAGCTATTTAACATTAAATCAAATGGAGAAAAGTGCAAGCTGTGGACAGGGACAATGCAAGACCCTGAATGACAGCAGAGTCCTCCACCCCACTGCTCCCCGAAGTGTGAACCAAGGACAACAGAACCCCGAGGGTTAACTTGGGATGCAATTTCAGTATGGTCCAGGGAGATGCACCGATACATTATCTTCACAGTAATTTACCATTCCAAGTGTTCCGGAATCCCTGCCAGATTCAGTTGGAAATGCAGGGATAACATAGGGAATCGCTCATCTCACACCTGAGCAAGGATTTGGAAGTTTCTTCCTCCTGCAAAACGCTGTGATATCCCCCAGTGACACATTGCCAGGCCCTCAGATTTTATCTTCCCCTAAAAATGACTCCTCTCTCAGTCAAAAATTGTCACATCTCTAATAAACGGGCTCGTTAGTAGCAGAGGAAAAGCACCCAACTCAAGCCATCATTCTGCTCTTGCAATACGCTAGCTGAGGTTGCAAGCCGGGCAGACATCAAGGGTGACACACAGCTTCAGACAGCTGTGCACGTGGGGCTGAGTCAGAACTCTGCCAGCATGCTTAGCCCTCACTTCGGGTATGAGAAATCACCCACCCCTCTGCCAGATGCTCCTTCTTGCTTTATGGGACTCCTGTGATGGAAACAACGTGCCAAACCAGCCCGGACACAGGGGGTGGCAGGAGACGGTGCTGCAGAGACAGGCTGCTCTGGCAGCACACACCAAAAGCTGGTGGGATGGTTTCAGGGTACCTGCTCCAACAAATGAGATCTGGAGCTTCCGCTGCTTCTTTCTTCCCCTCATTTCTCTTATTTGGGATATTTCGGGGATTGTTTGCAGCTAGCTCAGCTCCAACAAGAACCGCTAGCGCCCGGGTGGTGACAGATTTACTCTGCGCAATAACCTGCCTCTTCCCTCACCGCCAGCCTGGAATTCACAAACAGCCAGGGCTCGTCCCCTGCTCGCTCTTCGGCTGGACAAACCCGAGAGGGACGACATTTCATCTGCCCTGCAGAGGCAAAGCTGGGACACCAACACCTAGTACAAGCATAAAGAAGGCAGCACGCAGAATGGCATTGCTTGGCCTGGCTGGAGCATTACAGGTAAGTTAGACTCACACGACAAGGAAACGCGATTTCTTACTCCCTTCTGAGACTGCTGCGAGTGCAGAACACAGCCGCACTAATTCTGGAGCAGGAGTGGAGAGGGATGGCTCAGTACCTCCCCTTCCAGTCTCGAAGGAAAGGGGACAGGTCTGCCAAAGCACTTAACTGATTTAAATACTTGCATCACATTGAGATTCAAGTCCCTTCCCTGTAAAGCACACAGGTGTCTGCAAAGCCCTTCCCACGTGAGGTTCTATGATCCACGATCGTCAGAACCAGCCTGCTGGCCTTCAAACAACCTTCAGCATTTTTTTTTCAGCACCAGACTGGGCATTTTGTTTAAAAAAAAAAAAAAA